TTAATATTTGGGTGCTGTCATTGGTTCTTTTTTGACAATTGACGCGCGAATGGGGCGTGTTATGAAAAGGGGCGTATTTCAAAATACCGGGCGATGGTTGCAGGCCCACTATCAAGTTCCCTTGGGCCTGCACGCAGGCTAACGTTTGGGGGGAGGGATGTCGCAGGATTATATGTGTAATAATTATAATAAAGCTTTTTGTGATTGATTGGCACTCTCACTAGTACTAAGTTTTGGGAGAAAAGGGGGGTATGGGGGTCCTCCCCCAGAAAATTTTTACATTTTTGAAGCTCTAGGACTGAATTTCTGGCGGTTTCTAAAGCAACAAATTGCATGTAAATTGACTGTATTTTACAAAAATGGTTATCATTTCACAAAAATAATTACTTTATTACGCAAATTTTACCTGAAAATGTCAAAATTTTAACTTGAATTTGCTGAGGTCAAAACTTTGAAAAGTCTAGAGCCCCCCTTCAGTATATCAAGAACTTTCAGAGCCCCCCTTTAATGCCAGAAAACATTTCGGTGCCCCCCTTAACATCTTCATCCCCCCCCTCGGCATAATAAATGTACTTTCCCTAATCATGACTAGTTCATGTATGACTTGGCGATATCCTAACAAATTTTGATCAATCATATGACTAATATAATCTAATCGCTCAGTCAAAATTTCGCACTCTGTATGTTAATGTCCAGTATTGCATGGTAGATAGATAGATAGATAGATAGATTGTTTAATAATTCACTTTTTACAGTACAAATACTGAATTGGTAAGCGGTACAGTAGCTTTGCTTGAATAACTTAGTTTGTTATAACTTACTTTTGACTGATTGAATACAGTTATTATAAGACCCAACAAAAGCTCAATCCAGAAGCCCGATCTGCGGATATCTTCATTCTGTATCCGCTATATTTGTCTGTTCCAAAAGTAGTAGTAGTATAGAGTATTCTGTCTTCTGTGATGTTTATATATGATTTTCATTCTATTCCAGTCTACCAAAGACTGCTATGACAATGGAACGATGCTTTACTGCTCCCGTTTACATGAGACCGGGACGAACGTTAACCGGGACGATTTCATTTCGGTCGACAGAGTATTATTTTGTATAATATATGTTATTATGTTTACATGACGCCGGGACGAAATTGCCGGAGTCATAAATCATAATTCTGCTCGCTGGACCGAACCGATCATGGCCGGCCATCTTGAGACCAGCATGAATTCGGAGCTGGATTGATGTAAACCGCACAAATACATTTCAGACCGGTTTCAGCTGCGGCCTTGGCTTCGGGACAATGCATGTTCGAAGTTCACAAAAGCATTGACGCCATTGTAAAAAAGAAAATGGCAGCGAGGGGAATATATTGAAAGATTTGTGATTTTCGTATCGGTCTCATGTAAACTTACTGAACATTTATATTCTCATCTCGCTTTCACTTCGTGGGGGTCTTATGTAAACGGGGCCTTATAGTAACTCCTTGACTGATCAAAGTCATCAAAATGCTTTTTGCTCGAAACGTCGAAAAACTCAACGTACCGACGGGTTCCTGACATCCTGTCTTATCTGCGCGTCGTGGCGACGCTGAACCAGTCGAATTTAAAAATTTTGACAATGTTTCATTGCGTTTGTTAAGCAAGAGTCAACACTTACCAACAATTCTTGTATGTCATGAGCATAGATATCTTATATACACTAGATAGTGCATCTAATTATTCTGCAATTCAAAAATTGAAGTCGTGATTGCAGTCTCAGGTCGTTCCCATGAAATGAGAAGATTCGTATGTTTTCTATTTCTTAAACAGGGAACTTAAACATTAAGTTAACCCTATTCCAAATACGTTTTTAAACTATTCAAATAATGAAAGTTATTGTTGTTTTTAAGCGTTTATTAGCAAGTGGGAACGACCAACATGGCCGCCATCTATTCAAATGGGGGTAACCGCTGGAATATTCTTGGCTTCAATTTTACTAAAAGGGATGCGCTATCTAGTGTATATAAGATATCTATGGTCATAAGCAATGTATCAAACGATGGAAAAATATTCGTCAATCGTCAAAAATATAATTCAACTCACAACCTCCATAAATTGCCAGAACTCGTGACAGTCGCCTGATATGCAGGTCTATGACGTAGGATACTGCATTACACCATACGCTGCGACAAAAAGTTGCTCCCCGGTTTTGCACCCAGCGTTGTGATTGGACAACTTCAAGCTTCTTACGCCCGTATTCTAAAAGCTCACTCACACTCACACTCACACTCAATGAGTGGAGGTTCAATCTGAGCTTTTCTTGAGTGTCATAGCTGTTTTTGAATAGCTGGAGGGTGAGTAGTCACATAGTAAGGTACGACACTAACCCTCCAGCTATTCAAAAACAGCAATGACACTCGCGAGAAGCTCAGTTTGAACCTCCACTCATTGA